CAAGTGCGCATGTGGTCGCGTGGCCGCTACGGACTAAAAATACTGCGTAATTTGTGCATACATCACCCCATTTTCTGTGATCGTCTCTGATGATGTGTTGAATCAAGAATCCGAGACGTCAGAGCATCGTATCTACTCCTGCTGAGCTGCTCCCTGGAACTCGTCTGTTCGCCTCTATTACTATTTCAATGTCAGATTATCAACTAAAAAATGTAGGATGAGTAAGCGCGGTCCATTTAGTGTACTTTAAGTCGTATTGGTTCTAAAGGTCGACGACAAGTACCCTGAGACTTTAGCGAAAAAGGAGCCGGGGCTCCGTTTAGGAGCCCAGCGATTGTACTACCTTTGGCGGAGTGTATCCTTCATAACTTTCATAAGCATTTTGGTAACTTACTGTTCGAGTCTTATTTTCCTAAGTTAAATCGAGTGTGCTCACAACTAGACGTGGCTCGCATCTGCCGGCTCATGGATTTTCTCACGAAGCCCATCACGTAGGAGTAGCTTATTTTAGAGTGCTGTGAGTAAGGACCAAGCGGAGCTAACGCCGCATGCCCAGACGAATACAGACGGAATTCGCCTGAACCTACCTAGATACAATGGATGGGCTATCTCATGAGACGTTTACGGTAATTCTAAGATATTTTCGACTCGGAAGTAGAAAATGCGATTGCTGAAACAAGAAATTTAGTTGCCTGACGTTTCGGATTTTAGCTTGAACACTTCATCAGAGATAACCGCAAAAAGTGGTGATAACTGCACAGATTATGTGGTACTTATAGTCCATAGCGGCCACACGAACGCATGCGCAATACAATTAGCAGTTCCGCTTATCAGATTTTAAGGTCGTAGTTGGTGCTGTGGTGGTTTGACAGTCCGGTTCGGAGTCATTAATTGTCGCGATTTCATCATCTGTGTTAGATATTGGTTTGATAGTAACGTGATAATTAGGTTCGCTGTCACCGGCATCGTTACTTGGCTGTGCCCTTCCCGCGCCACTGATTCTTCTGCTCAGATAAAGTCTCAGCACGGAATATGGCAACAGTAAGTCATTACGCTTGTTACTTGACTGCGGCCCGAGAGCTGGGACTCGCGGATCACGCAGTTGTTATCTCCTGCGAGGATTTCGGCCTCGACAAATTTGAAAATATGGCCTGGTCCCGTCGAGTAAGCTGCAACCTAGGAGTTAACATCTTTCCTCCTCCTCACTGCTGCTGCGTGTTCGGCCATTCACGCTTAGAATAATCCGCTGGTTTCTCCGACGTAGTTGCTTTGTCCATTAACGCACCAGATCCAGTCAACGACTCCAGCTGTTTCCTGTCGTGGCAGTGGGTCTTTCGGCCTCATGATCCGGCGCCTGATGGTTGCTTTTGGCCTGTGCGCAACTTCAAATCCAAGTGGGGTGAGCAGGCGGCTGACCGCTTCCGATAAATTCTTCCCTTACGGACGAGCTTGCCAACATGTTGGGCCAGTTGGATTTGGTTTCTTGTCTCGTCTGCGTATGCATTGGTTGACAAAGTTGCGTGGGTAGCCACTCGCTCTTAGTACCCGTCGAATATATTGTAATTCAGCAACTTTGTCCTCCGTTTCACTGCAATGCGTCTCAACGTGTCGGCAAAGCGTTCTTACGCAACTGCGTTAATGACTGACCAGGTGGTTGTTGTTGAAGTTCAGGACTTGCATAGTATTGGTCACTTTCTCGAACATCTTAGATTTTAGGCCACCAAAGCCTTTGCGGTAAACAAGGACATCCGGAAAGGCTAGCTGGTTTTCATCTTCCACCTCCATCGTAAATTGGATGTCCGAGAAGACGGTTCAGACATTTCATGAATGTCAGCACCTGATGCCGCTCGATTACGACGAAGGTGTCACCCACATACTGAACACAGGATTTTGGTTTCGGAAAACCAGCAACTTCAGTCGTTGCAAAACCACCTCGGCTATGAGTCCGGAAATTGGCGAACCCCAGGGCGTGCCCTTAATCTGCTTATCGATTATTCTGTTGAACGTAAGGCATGTCGTTAGACAGAACTTCGGAAGTTGGAGGACTCGGGTGTGTCCGAGGCGATTCTCCATTTCATCATATTTGTCTCGTTGGAGTAATTGGATGGCCTCGACTGTCAGGTCCTGTGGACTAGAAGTAAAAAAGGCCCTGAAATCGTTTGACAGCAGGCTTACCCTTTTAAGTTCCTTTAAGAAATGCGTTGGCGACCTGACTGTGGTGTCCGAATCAGCGGTCAGAGTTGAACCGTCGAAACAGCCAGTTTGCCAGTCCATGGGCTAGGGTTCCTTTGAAAGATATGATTGGCCGGAGAGGCGCGCCCTCTGGTTATTTAAAAGGCTCGACTATTCGCGCGTTATTTTGTGTC